TTTTTTTTTTTTTTATAAAAAATTATATATATATATATATATATATATACATAAAATATTCTTCTGAATGAATTAATGATTCCCAAAATAAAAAATAAATTCAAAAAAAAACAATGTAAAAATTACTTCTCTTTGGAAGTGTAATTTTTTCCTGTTATCTCGTTTTATTTTTCATAACGCTGTTACAAAGAATTTTCCCAACGAGTCTAACAAATTTAATGGTCCTTTTTTGCCGTGGAACCGTGAAACGGTTAATCGACGAGATCGTTGGATGGCAAACGCGGTGCAAAAATCAAGGAAAACGAATTACGAGGCGTTGCCGGTTTCCTGTCCCGGAGGAAAAGTGAATTTCCTCGGTAGCCGGCGCGACATCCTCGGTGAAAATGACCTTGATCATTGGATTTTCGTTCAATCGTGCCTTTCCTCAAAACAAGGTTACAGTAAACCACGAGGATGATGCTGTAAGTGGTCGGCCATTTTTCTTTCCTCTATAAAGATTTAACTTTTAACTTCTTTGATTCCATAATAACGATGTTAAATGAGATAAGATCCTTTAAAATGGTTTGTGTCTTGGAAAAATGTTGCTTGAACTTGTAATAACTTAATGATGGAGAACTAATAATATTTTGTTAAGAAAATGAATTTTGAAATAGTTCAATTTCTGGAAATATCTTATACTCTTATTAAAATATACAAAGTAAAATAATAATTCTAAATATTTTGAATACTTTCTGTTATTTTTAAAAATATGAGATGACATAATAAATTCTGTTATCAAAATACTAAACGATTCATATGATTTGTAATTTTAAATTTTAATTTGTAAATTATATTATATAATTATATAATTGTAAATTTTAATTTTTTAATTTAATAATTATTAAAATCAAAGAAACTACTATATTAATTTTTTCACATTATCATCATAATTATTTTTTGAATGAAAATTACTATACTTATTACAATTTACGATTCAATCATAATAGCATAGCATATATTTAATAATATACTTTGTTTATCAAAATTACTTTGAATCAACATTTCATATCTTTTGATCACATGCAAAAGCCATTAACCATTCACGAGATACTATGACGAGATATTATTTTTATTAATAATAAATAAAATTACCATGATCGTTTAATTCGAATAAAAGACAATATAAACGTCCTTCGAGGAACAATTGATATAGTCGCATGAAGGAATCGTGTATTACGCCATTTCGTTAGATCTTGTCCGAAGAAAGAGGTCGTAATCACCTGTAACGTAACTACTTTCCCCTACTCGACCCGACGGATTTTCCCAGATCGAAGGACAGGTACGAGAACATTGCTTTCCATGTAATGTATCCACGTGTCTGGTTCATATTATCCAATCCATTACATTCATGCACCTCGTGAGGATTTAAGTCTGAATTTTAAGAATGATAATTGAAATCAATGTTATCTTTTCTGCGAATATAAATGGAAATGATTTCTTTATAAATCATAATACAATATATATGTATATTGTATATTAATTGTGTATAGAAATATATTTCTAAATTAATTATTATTATTGTTTTGAATCGATTTTAATGGATATAATTGATATTTGTAACTGTAAAAATAATTGAAAATTAAATAAATTGATATTCATAAAATAACATGAATAAATAATCATTTCAATATTCAAATTCACAAAGAATAAATATATTCAAATTTTAAAATATCAATCAAATTATTATAGAATTTGAATTATAATTATTATTTTTCTTTCGAATTTCATTTATCATTTAATTTTAATTTTTGAATTTTTCCAATTTCTTTCTTCTTTCCAAAATTTAATATTTGCTATATTATATAATTTTAAATAAATATTCTTCAAGATTCAATTTTCAACTTCTCCAACTATTCCATTTTTTGAAACATATAAAATATTTCTACAATATTCAAATTTCAAATTTTTTAATCTTCATATTTTCCTCAATTTTCCACAATTTTTTCCAAATTTCAATTTTTTTTACAGTATTCAAAATTCGAAATGAATCGTCTCGCTATAAATTTATCCAATTTTCACATTACCTTGAATGGATCTCCAACTCCCTGTACGATCCTAATCACGATCCTAAACGAAAACACCTGTGATTAAAACGAGCCGCACAAGGGATGAATCACCCTTGGACGAAAACTGTTGATCCGAGATTGCTATCGAAGGAACCTCGAAGTGAGCCACGCGGTGCGTTCACCTTCCAACGGTGCATATATAAAGACGAGATTCACTTTCACTCTCGTTTTAGTCGACTGTCGACAATATTCGCCGGTGAAGCTGACTATCTTGTCTTTTTTACGAAATCGCGTTTCCCGTAAAACGATGGCCATTCTGTTCCTCTTTTGTTGCATCACAATGGTCGTAATAGCTGTCGAAGACGATGGATGGGCGTGGAAAAATGGAGAGAGCAGGCTCGGGAAGACGAGGTTTGTTCAATCTTCATAGTTTTTTCTGAAGATATATAAGTGTATACTTGACAATATTTTCTAACAATTGTCCTTGAGAATACTTTTAAATTGTGCATTCACTTAAGAACAATTTTTGAAATTTTTACTCTAAGATAAATAATAAAAAAAGAAAACTCGCCAAAGAGTTTATTATTCGATAGAATTTTCAGATGTCCAATGGAAATAGGTATCTAATCTCTGTTCCTTTCCTTGTACTGTCATATTTTGTCATTCTTTTGTCTTTTCGCAGCTTATAAACTCTTGCTGTAGCTATTCTCAGACTAAAAGATTATAATAACAATTCAGATAAAATTTTACAATATATTAATTTTATAGTTAAAATATAGAGAAATTTGGAGATAATATTTGATGTATGTATGAATATATGTGTTTGGTATGTATATAGTTTGAAGATTTGAATATGAAAAAAAAATAAAAAATAAAAATGATTGAAAGAGAATTATTATACAAACACTATCCTATGCTTTCCATTTAACGATGTTTTAAATAATCTTAAGATACTTTAAGATCGATTGCAAAAAAAATTGGGAAAAAAAAAGTAAAATTGAAATATAAACTATTTGTTCAATTATAGATACCAGGTGAATGAGAATATCGAACATTTCGGTAACGAGAGACCATTAATAGGATTTAAACCACAAAACGTGGGACCTTACGGTCCTAACAGTAGACCTATTGTACCGGCATCGTATCCTGGCAACAAAGAAGTTCTTGTCGGTCCTGGTGGCCCGACTGGCATTATAAAAAGGTATTTCGTATCTTCGCGCTGTTTTCCAACCCAATAAGTTTTCGTTACTCGTATCCTCAATGTTGATTGGCTTTGTACGACCCAATGACCTGATACACCGTTGCATTTTATGAAAAGAGGCCAAAACATCGAAGTTCCATGGTCTAAGGTTTGGATTGGATTTAGGTTGGACTTGGATCACGTTTGAATTAAAATTATTCTCTTATAAGTATTGGATATTGAAGAACATTCAATTGAATTTAATTTTTTATAATTGATGATCGATATTTTAGCATATTTTTATATGTATATATATTAAATATAAATTAAATTTATATTTTTGATATAATCGAAAAAATCTATGATACAATTATTTGTATAATTAGATTAAAATATAGAATTTATTTTTGAAAACTTTTTTTATCTTGGATTAAATTTAGAAGATCAAAACTAAATTCTACTAAGTCACAAGACAGTTAGAAGTTAAAAAAAATAACTATTGAATAAAATAATCTATTCAGACCTTCCTACACCGGAAATATCGACGATGGCGCATTGGAAACTGGTTTCGTACCATCTTGGGTCAAGGACGATCCTCGATATCGAGAATATGACACTTGCAGATGCAGATATAGCTTCAACTGTCCCTCCGTAGGATTGAAATTTGTACGTAACAAAATAGTTGCTATTCTTTTTATTTATATAAATAATTAATTAATATAAATAATTTTTACGATTTCTATAGGGTACCTGTGCAAAAGATAAGAAATATTGCTGTTTTAATAGCAAGAAGTATCCTACCTTGGTTTCCGGACAATATGGTCAAGGATATTATCCTTATCCGGTATATTAATAATTGTTAATAATTTATCATAATTTTCATCAAAGATTATTAATTTTATTTATCGTAAGACGCATTCTGCAAAAAAAATTTTAAACTTGATTATTTTTTAAATTTCTAAATGAAAATTAAACAAAATTTAAGTCTTAAAACCATCAAGGGAATTTTATTTAAATTTTAAATCCAAAAAAAAATAGAAATTAAAAAAAAAATAAAAATAAAATAATTTGAATAATTGAATTTTAAAAAAAGAAATAATAATACATATGTATATATATTATTACGTATGGAATTAAAAGAAATCAAAAGAAATCAAAAGAAATTAAAAAAAATCTGCCATTAATTATTTTCAATAATCTTCAATATAAAAATAATAAATTTTTTATGAAAACAACAAATATCTTACAATTATTATAAACTTTTAAAAATGAAATTACGTTTTTATACTTCATTTGTCATTGTTTGACAAAATTTTCAGAGCGCTCCTAACAAATACGGTCCAGCAACCTTTGTACAATCGCCAAACTATTATGGTAATCGAAGACCGCCAGGGAGTTTCACCGGTGCTAACAGATATCCTGGAAATTACCATTTCCCTGGAGGGAATCTGAATCTCTATCCACGACCCCAAGGCAATCCTTATGAGCAGAATTACGACTACAACGATTTCCAGTTTTATAGTCGATCCTTAAAGAAAAATCAGACCCAGAACGAGAGTGAGGATGAAAAAGTTTAAGCTCCATTTACATACATGAATACTATTTTCTCTTTTTCTTCTGATCAATCTTTTAATAGGTTTTCACATATATGTCGTCTTACAAATTCTTATTGCGATCAATCTGAATAAAGGATTAGATTAAAAATTTTATGAGTTTGAGGAAAAAATTCGGCGAGTAAGACGTTGTCAATGTAAAAGAAAAACACTTAAATAAAAAAAATCTCTGTTCAGGATTATATTATAAATATATGATATGTGTATTATATCAAATATATTTATAATATATATTTATAATATTCAAATTAATAAGTTTTAAGAACATTTTTATATAAATATTGATAATGCATTCTGTGATTAAAAATCAAAGAAGGTTATGAAAATATTTTGCAAAAAGACAAAGTAAATAAAGGTTTATAAGTAATTTACCATTATAGGTAAATAGAGTAAAAAATAGAATAACATAATAAAATAGAATAGAAAAATAAAAGAATAAAATAATAAAATAAAATAAAAGATTAAACGAATAAAAATCTTTAATATAATAACAAATTCATAAATACGATTCTTTCCAATATGAATTGAAATGACTGAATAAATTTTATTTACTTCTTATTTTATTATTATATTTTATTTGTATATATACTATTTTTCCAAATACATACATCAATTGATTTGATCAATTGATTAATTATTCATTATAGATATTAAATCAAAATAATAGTAATATTATATTATGGACTTATTGGAATTTTAGAATTTAGGATGCCAACGAAATTTCTCTTATTTTTAGCCACAAAACTTAGTATTGAATTGTTTATCATGATTCTATCTAAAAATTATTCAATTTCTAAGAAAAGCACGATCCAAACATTCAATATTTTTAATAAAATACCAAAGAACGTAAATATATTTTTAAATCATAAAAAAATTTTCTTTTCATTAACTTAAATTATCAATTGTAATTATAAATATTACTACGTAATAAATTTTATAATGAAGATCTTAAGAATATGTATTTATTAATGTATGATTGATATATCATTATTATTAAAACAAATTTCTTATATATTTTCCAATATTTTTGTTTTCTTTTATCAATCAAGATTATTTATAATTTCAAAGTATTACTAGCTATCCAAGATTATTTTATTATTAATTTTATTATTAATTTTCAAAACTTACCAATGGTGGTGATGACCACTATGGAATAAAATAAAGCACCAGCAAATGTCCATTGGATGTCATCTTCACCTTCACTCCCATCCCAACCTTCTTTCTCCATCATCCACACGAGGTTATTCTCGAAGCTCTGAAAAAAGAAAATGATCGTGGAATTGGAGAAAATTCGAGTTCGATTTCTGATCATCGGATGTGAATTTGATGGTTCGGTACCTTTAATTCGCGCAGTGCTCTGTCCGTCCAATTTTCACGAATCAGAACTTCCACTTCTTTCGTAATCTTCCATAGTTGTTCTGCAACGTTCTCTCTGACATGTTTAATGCTTTTCTTGATCTGGATAAGGAAAAAAGTGAGATGAAAAGAGAATTGTGAAGAATAAATGGAAAAAGAAAAGATGATATATCATTATTTAATAAAGCAAATTATACATTTATTTTTATTTTTTTATTTCTTATTTCTAATCAATAATAAAAGAAAGCTTTGATAATTGCATAAGATATTTAAACAATTTTATGTGTTGATTTTTATTAATATTATATTCATAATTTTTATTAAAATTAAAAGATTTAGGGAAAAAGAATAGATAAAAAAAGAATTAAATATATAGTAAAAGAATTAAATATAAGTAAAAGAACATAAAAAAAAAATATTAAAAAGACTTTTTAATCAATAATATTTTTAATGATACATCTAGAATTTTTGAATTTAAAAAATATCAAAAAATATCAAATATCATATTAACGCTACTTCTTCCCAAAAATTTTAATAAGAAATAAACATCAAAATTCAAAAATTAACATTATAAACTTGTGTTTAAAGAAAAAAAATTAATAATAATAAAAAATAACAATGAAATGAAAAAAATTCACAATTTCTACCTCTTTTTCGTGAGCGGCTTCAAGAGCTTCAAAAGCGTATGCGCCGATCAAGCAATATAGTACAACCAATGAGATCAACGATACGTGGGAAAAAACGCATCTGAAGAACTTCCACAGGAAACGTAGAAAACGTAGAAATCTGATACACTTGGATGGCTTCTCGGCTTCGACCATCAGTTCGAATGTTTCCGGTCGCGAGCGTGGTGGCATCGTGCTTTCCGCTTCGAAAATTTTTTCCCTCAAACACCCTCACCACGACGACTCTTCATTGTCCTCTTTCAAATTTTTCTCTTTCACGATTGAATTCCAATCAATCACAATCTTCGTTCATTTTATTAATTATCGTTTTATATTTCAGCTGAAAGAAAGAAGTTACGATCTGTTTTATGATAATGAAAATAAACGATGCCACATTATGATTCTGCAGCAATTGATATGTTTATATTTGTAAATTAGAAAATTATAGTAATGGTGAAATAAATATTAATACTATATTAATGCTATTTCGCTATCTTCAATTTTAAATGGAAAATCTTATTATCTTACATAAATTTAAAAAAATTTTTAATCGTTTTACAATGATCTCTTTTTGAAAATATAATTAATTAAAAACATATTTATTAATATTAATAATATAATAAAAAAATAAATGGCACAAAAAAAATAATTATTAATATCAATTTAAAATAAAATATAAAAATTTATTTATTTTTTTTATTATTAATATATTTGCTTTCCTTAGTTAGTTTTATTAGATTGATAGCAAATAAATAGTTGATTAATATTTCCAATTTATTTGTTATATTTATGTAAACTAATAAAACGTTAATTTGAACATATAAAATAAAAATTAAAATCTAATAATTAAAAATATCTTTATGTCTGCTTTAGATATTAAAAATTAATAAATTTTAGAAACAAAATTAAACTAAATAAGAAAAATTAAAGTAAATTAAAATAATATAAGAAAATGCAAAATTATGTTTTATCTTATGTCAAAAGCCATTAATTTCAGAAAATGCCATTATATTATTTATTTTAATTTTATATTGAAAATATTGATTTTAGAAAATTTCATTTCAGTGTTTATCATAGAAATACAAAAAGAGAAATAAAATAATATAAATAATCTTAATATCTTAATATTTTTAATTTTTAGAAAGTAAATTGATCACATATTTCTCATTTTTTTACTATTTCCAATTCTTTATTTTTAATACCTGTTTAACGTAACAATAATAATAACACTTCGTTGATATTTTCATTGACATTTCAACAACAATTTTTTTCTTTTTTAATTAATTGCACGTGTTAAACGCCGCGATATATCAAGTTCTCTATCGCAACGTTGGAGAAGCGAAACTAACTACAGAAGTAACATAAAACACAGACGTGTTTTATCCGGGATGGTTGTTCCAAATTTATCCTACCTATGCTATCGTCGAAATGTCGTTTTGGGGCAAAGTGTTATGAATGGTTGGTTCACTCATTCTGTTATAAGGTCAAAATGATGAAAAAAATTCAAAATAGAAATTAACAAAATAATTTAATTCATTAAAATATTAAGCATTTATATTTTTCGCTTATTTAATTAGATTGATTATTTATAACTTTAATTAATTAATATATATTACTAGAAATTATATAATTAAGAGAAATCATCTTAATTGTAAATTCTTTAATTATTTTCATTTTTTTTAGAAATTATTCTTATTGAATTAGAAAAAATTTAAATATATGATTTTATATTATTTCATCAAAAACTATAGACAAAAACAGCAAATTTTATGAAAAGGATAGAAATAAGATAAGAATTGATTATTAGCGTCATCTCTTGAGTATCAAATAGATTTTTTCAAAAATACTCCAGAGATGGTGCTGATTCATAATTCTTATCCTACTTTATCCTGCTTTATTATAAAATCTTTTGGCATTCAAGAGATGGGAGTAACAATCAATTCTTACCTTATTTATTTGCCATTTCCTTTTCTGCCTGTCTATGTATTCTACAAATTGATGCAACAGATTTCACAATTTCGGCACGAATATTATTCTATTGTCATTTCAGTCCATTCATATTTTGAACTTTTATCACTTTCTAAAATATCGAACTTTTTTAGTTTCCCACGTATTTGCAAAAAATTGTAACTACTGTATTGAATTTCTATGTGCATCCATTTCAGCATTTAAGTCGAATAAAATTTTATCTATTAAAATATATTAATACAAAATTTTATATATAAAAAAATGAAATATACATATATTTTTAAGATTATTATTTACACAGAAATATTAATATTGATGAATATTCATTATAAAAGTTTATTGTGAAAATATCACATAAAAATAATCAAATATAAAACAAAATGAATACATACAGTGGACAAGCAAAACTTCTCGTTGAAAAGATATGATGGCGTCCATATTGAAACTTTTCTCATTTTTAAATCTGAACCAGTAATCAGATAATAATGTTTCTACAAGAGAAAATGAGAATTTTCAAATGAACACATAAAATGTGTAAAATAAATCGATCATCATTAGAATAAAACAATAATCAAACATAAATTTCATTTTAAAAAATCATATAAGTTGTACATGGCTAGAATATAACCATCAAATATGTATAAAAATAACGAAAAATAAATAATTTAGCTTATTAATTATAGAAAGATTATTAATTATAGAAATAAACCAATATATTGATTGAATAGTAATGCACAAATGTTAAATAATACAAGATGGAAGAAAATATATACATATTACGCAACAAAAAAATCACATATGTCAAGAAAGAATGGAACTTTCGATTATTACAAATACCGATAGTACAATGACGCCGCATTATAATTTCGATTACCGAATCACAAATTAGAGAGGAGATTCTTGTTAAACGACAAATTAAAACATCTAAACATGTCGAAACATATCTAAATATGTCGAAATATGTTGAGCATGAGAAAAATGCAAATTTTTTGGAAAGGCTATATTATGAAAAAATTTTAAAGTTTTGAGCATACTATTAGACGAAAAAAAAGAAAAATATATATAAAAATATTATATACAATTATATATGCATTTAAAAACGCAATACGTATAAATGATAAATAAATCTATTAGCATTAAAAAAAATTAAACATCGAAATTATCAGTTACAAATCATATATGCATAATATAAATAATTCTTCTTTCGAAATCATTCTAATAATAAAATGACAATTTGTACAACAAATGAAAATCAAAACGGTAAAATAAAGATATAAAAATATCATATTAGGATAAAGCAACAAGTGAATTCAAATCTGAACTCAACGAAGCATAAAATACCGGTAACCTCAACAATTAAATATACGATCCACGAAAAAAGCACAAAAAAACTCAAAACACTAATTGATTTCTTCATTACAATAATAAATGAACTATTAAATAATCGAAACTAATAATAATTTATAAATTTATTAACAGAATATGAATAAAATTACTTATTGCGTAGTAAAATCGTCGAAGCCGGTTACAATTACACATCCTCTCACGATGACTTTCCACAGGAAACTGACGCCACGCACCAAAATTTTTATAGCAACTTTCTGATTGGCTAAGGTACGTGTATTCGATAATCGAAATTACACAAAAACATAAAGTATTGCAAAATATATTTTATTTATTCTAATAAGATATATATTTATTCTTTAATATTTATAATATTAAAGAAAATTATTAAATTATTTATACATTATTTATTATAATTTATTATTTTTATAATTATTTATTTGATTTTTATATTTCTATTATTATATTCTACATTTTTTTATTAATTAGTTATTTCACTGATTTATTTATCGATTATCGATTTATCAATTATTTGTTAATTTGTTCACTTGTCTAGTAATTTATTTGTAAGTGTTTTTTATAAATTTTTCTGCTCCGTTCATATATGATTAATTTATATATATATATAAATTAATTTATTTATTTATTTACTTATTTATTTATTTAATGATATATATGTGCATTAATTTATTTTTTGTTTATTATATTTATAGTTTAATTATTTTTATTCATTTAAAATAATTATTAAATCATGAAATGGATCTAAATTAATAAATAACTGAATGAATATATAACTTAATAAATAAATAAATTTATGTATCCAAATATAAATTAAATAAAAAAATAAATAAAAATATCTATAAATAAATCACTACACAAATAATTTATTTATTTAAAATAATTATTAAATCATGAAATAGATCTAAATTAATAAACAAATGAATATATAACTTAAT